CCACACAATAAATCAACAAAACCAGCACATATGATAATTTCATTCCACTTCATGATCACTCAACCATTTTCATCATTAGATCACATAACCATGCTAATTCTACAAAATGTCAGTTTCAGAGGCAACAATGATTTGCAGAGACACAGTAGCAATTTGCAGAGGTATACACAAGATCAACCAACAAAATGTCTTTCCATATCTCATCCACAATTCATGCATTTCGAACTTCATACCAAATGCAGATGATGAATATACAGCACTAAGCCATCTTGGCTTCACCGAATATAAGAACCTATATCGTTTAACTCACAATACAGATAATTATGGTCACTAAAGTAACCATATCACATAGCGATATCATTTTCCATAAATTCACATATTATACTGGAGCCGCTTCATGACCCCGATATGTATTCGAGCCGCTTCATGACCCGAATATTGTTATTATGTTGAATTAGATCTAATATTAGAATCTACCCACAATTTTGTCTTCACTCGGCTATGCCCTTGCCTTTGGATGAGCCCCCGGCTTGCTCCTTACCTTTATATACAAAATTTTCAGGTTATTCAAGCACCAAGATACGTATAAAGTCATCATAATCATGGTTGTGTTCATGCATGTCGATAAGGTCACTAGGAAATTCGTACGGCCGTACAAATCGATCCCCAAGCCGTACAATTTCAAGATTTCCCTAGAATCTCGTACGGCCATATGGCCTTTTCGCACGGTCGTACCACTTTACCATGCTTCACCATTTTGGTAATTTCTCCCTTGATACTTAACCAAATCAGTTGATTCTTGTTGATACTGAAACTAGATTCATAGGGATACAACATATACAAATTTCAGACCATTTGCATCAGCCGTTTGAGCTCGACAATCATTTTAAGTTGACGTTTCAAAACTGTCAGCTACTTTCTTTTCACTTCAAATCCAACTCCCCTACTTCTAACAATTGTTCCTGACCACTCCGAAATAAAAAATACGTTCCGAACGGTCAATTCGAAGAACCCAATATACTTAACATTATGCCAATTTTAGAACGATCCAACAACTGGTTCGCACAGGATCTTACCTCTAATCTGCTGTCCTGCTACAGGAAAAACAGTGTCGCACCCCTTTTGTCCAGCAACATTCCTCGATGTACCAGAGATCAGAACGATGATCCTAACGGTCCAATCGTAGACAAGGAAGTATGGAATACAACCTCCAAATCTCAGGACGATCACTCTCTCCCACGTCCCTCTCTTGCTCTCTTTCTCCCATCTGGTTTCACCACCCAAAAACCATCATCCCCATTTTCATAAACAAGGAGTTGAGAGATAGAAAGATATAATCATGAAGTGGAATGAAATTATCATATGTGTTGGTTTTGTTGATTTATTGTGTGGATTATGAGTAAGTATTAGAACTTGTGAACCCGTCTTGTTTGCTTAAATTTGGAGTAAGCCATTGGGCTTACTAATCCTGTTCTGCTTGAATAACTCGGCGTAAGCTCCTCAGCTTACTTTCCATTCTGCTGTGACTAAGGGTGCAAAAGTGCTATAAATGCTTCTGAGCATATAGTGTATAAGTGAGCCTATGGGTTAATGATTATTGGCATGTGTCTAAATGAACTATTAATGAAAAGAGGTGAATACATAAGAATAAGTAAAAGGGCTACATGATATCTCGGTACAGTAGTCTGTCCTGCTTGTATCGATATGGGTAAACCCCACGATACTCCTATTTGAGTGCTCATGCTCCGCATCGTTTCGATTGGGTGACGACCCACGGTATTTCTGTTCTGTTCAGTTAGCCGGACTGGGGTAATCCCGTGGCGAATCTTGTTTTGTATCGGTCTGGGTTGCGTCCCGTGATACTCCTGTTGGTGCGAGCGCTCCCGTTTCGTGCCTTGTGCATTCCTGTTCGTACATGACTGGGTTGTGTCCCGCGGTACTCCAGTTATATGATGGTTGTACATGGTTACCTTGCAGCCTTCCACTACTGTACTACCCGGGGAGGATATCATTTAGCAAATTTGAAAGTGAAATTGTATAAGAAAAATGTCTCTGTCAGTCATCTGTTTTATGTGTTTTGACTGAGACGGGATGTGAACATGTGTACTTGATTGATTCAGTGGAATGAAAAGTGTGATAAACAATTTAAGTCTTGTTATGTGCTAGGGTGTTTCTACCCAATACTGCTTTTGTATTGATGTCGATTTGAGCTTAGAATTTATTCGTTGAGCGACGACTCATCCTTCGTCACCATTTTTCCTCATATCAAGAGCAGAAGTAAGGTGTGTACTGTAGATATCGGGACTCAAGTTTGAAGGAAAGCTATGAGGTGGGCGGGGGACTCCGAACTCCTTAAATGTTTTATGTTGTGTGGATTTTGCAATAAAGCGGACTTCTCCTATTTTCTGTTTTGACTCTAATACAAATGTGATGGTTTGAAGTTTGAAAAAAATATATATATAAAGCTCGGGCCCGAGAATGTTTAAACTCAATGTATTTTACTATTTCGTTTTGTAATGTAAAGTAAGGGTGTTACATTTGGAATGCATTTAGCCACCACTTTATACCCTACGTTACACAGGCTAATTGGTCTGAAATGGCTCATCATGCTTGGGTGGTCAAGTTTGGGAATGAGAGCTAGCAGGGTCTCATTCTGAAGGCAGATACTGTCAGGGTCCCAAAAGCATCTCTGGATGAAAGTGAAGAGGTCCTGACCAACAGACTTCCAGCATCTTTGAAAGAATAGGGCATGAAACCCATCTTTGCCAGGAGCCTTCAACTCATTCATGTCTTTAACAATGTAGTGGATCTCCTCCAAGGTTGGTAGTCTTCTCAGTGGATCCCACATATGTCCTTCAAGAACTGAAAACAAGGCAGCAATGGTACACTGATTGTCCCTGGTGACTTTGGTAAAGAGCTGAACAAAGTGCTCCCTAGCCATGTCCTGAAGCTTGTCTGGGTCAATAATCCATTCCCCTTCCTCATTCTAGAGACGGACAATCTTGTTTCTCTTCCTTCTAGTCAGCGTACTGGTGTGAAAGAACCTAGTGTTTTGGTCCCCATGGATTGTCCAGGTTGCTCTTGACTTTTGGTACAAGAGTATCTCCTCTTGCCAGAGAACATCCTCCAATTCCATTCTAGTGCTTCTTTCCTTCTCCAGAGAAGTAGAGGTAGGATTCCTCGCATTCAGGCTTTCCAAGGACTTCAGTTCCTGAGCAAGCTTCCTCTTCCTTTTGAAAATGTTACCGAAAACATCTTTATTCCAGATTTGAAGTTTACTGGAAAAGTCCTGCAAGGCACAAGGAAGAAGCTGGCCAGTACTCTAAGAGGACGAAACAAAAGGAAGAAATTCATCATGTGCAAGCTAGGGAGCAAGGAACTGGAATCGTCTCACCAGTTTAGAACTCGCTGGGGGTTGATCTTGTTGCCCAGCAGGATCGGTCTATGGTCTGACTTCATCTTGATCAAATGGAAGACAGTAGTTTGGGAAAACTTGTGGTGTCATGCCAAGTTGCATAGCCCTCTATCAAGTCTCTCTTTAACTCCTGATCCCCCTTTAAACCAGGTGAACTTTGGTCCAGTAAACCCAAGATCCATAAGGCCACAGTCTTCAATGAAATTCACAAAGGCCTTCACTTTAGCGAAGTTGAAATTTGCTCCTCCTTGCTTTTCAGTAGGCCTAGTAATAGAGTTAAAATCGCCAAACATCATCCAGGGGCAGAGGGTTCTGCGGCTGATGCCACGAAGATCCTCCAACAATTCCCCTCTAGCATGCTAGTTGGGGCTAGCATAGATGGCCGTCGGGGCATATGACTCTCCATTACTTGTAGAACACTCCAGGTGAATGTACTGCTTGTGAATATGAGGGTTCCTCATTTGGACCTCACTTTTGTTCCACAGCAGCCAGATACCTCCACTGAATCCTGTAGAATCAGAAACTTCCCAAGAGTCAAACCCTAGTTTCTGGATGATGTCAATCGCATCCTTCCCGCTAACCCTGGGGTCAACAATACAAACAACGTTTGGTTTATGGACAGACTTATAAAAAACAAAAGTAGGACGAAACTTTGAGGTGTCGATCACCTCTACAATTCCAAAAAAAGACTTTAATCATTTAAAAGATTAAAAGGAGCTTCCCTTCTTCTGTATAACAAAACACAGCCTAATTTTACAAATACCCTAAATTTACTATTATCGTCATAACTTAATACCCAGTATTGCGAAATTATCCTTTATTAATCAAGGAAACTATAGCAAAACAAAAAGGCCTTCAAATTCCTTATCCCCTCTGTCTCCTCATCTCCGCAAATTCCTTCGCCGGGAATCAATAACTTCTGCACATTCATCATTTTTAGAAGTTAATGAATAAGGAGTATATTAAGTGATTTATTTTCGAAAAACTCACAATGCGAGGTGATTGTCCATTAACTTAACTCGGACCACATTTTTTTGTCAAATTAGTAGTAGCATTATGATTAGCTGGACGTTTACACGATGAGCGTGAGCGCATGATTTCAGTTTCATAGTACGTGACATCCATCCAGTCCTATCCCAAAAACAATAACGAGGGTTTAAACTAATTAATTCATCATTACTGCAAAAACACCGAATTAATCCACGCAAAATGACACCCCATTGGATAATACACCACGTGAAGGCAAAATTTAAGACCCCGTTATCCCATGTCTGCCCCTAACATGTCGCTCACCATCACCCAGAGGCATTGAATTCAGAGACAGAACACAAAAAACAGAGTATCTTAAAACGAAATTCTTTAAAGCAAGGTAGGAAGTTCGTGACTCGAATTGATAACTCTTATCAAGTAAAATAATCATAATAAGTAATAACTTATCACCGCCGAACTGCAGAGGAGGCAAGCTTGGCGACAATTAAGGCAGTCAATCCGGCCACAATCCATGTGACTTCATTTCACTCCCTCTTCCTCCTTATTACTTCTCACCACCATTCCTTCCACAAATCAACCCTCCTTCCCCATTCCCATGGCTTCTTCAATCCTTCCACTCCTCCTACTCTTCCTCGGTCTCTCCATCTTCATGTCCCTGAGTAACGCCAGCAAAGTAATAGTGATGGACGCGATGCAATGGCAGCAACCCTCATCCTCATCCTCATCCTCATCAGCAGCAGCAGCAATGTCTCTCTACGACGACGGCGACGGAGACGGTGAAAGTGATGAAGGGTTTGGTGAGGAGAGGAGATCTCTGTACTGGAGCTCCGGCGGAGGAGGAAGTCGGTACCACATATCGTACGGGGCGCTGTCGGCGAACAGAGTCCCCTGCCCACCGCGCTCTGGAAGGTCTTACTATACCAATAACTGTCACACCACGAAGCAGCCTGCTAACCCTTATCAGCGCGGCTGCTCTTGCATCGTCCACTGCAGGAGATAGCTTCTATTGGCTAGCTGTCTTTTTTGCTTTAACCTTGTTAATTTTAGCTCCCATGATAACTGCTGCACTACTGTGCAGTTTGGTTAATTTTTCTCTGGTGACGCTGAATGTGTTCGTTCCTTTTGCTGCTCTTGAATATGTATTTGTAGCTCGAAAGGGTAGACAGTGATTGGTGGCTAATTTGGGATTGGATATCATGAATGCAGAGCTTGCACCTAATTGTTGGTTGGTGCAATTGAAAGTATTTTTAAGGCAAATTCTAAGCTGGCTTCTTCTTCATAGGCAGGTAGCCAGATACCAACCCAAGTTGTTCTCCATATTAATTTAATGACAACTATTCCTGCGTTATTTTTGAAAGTTCTAGTTTACAGAGCTCATCCAATTCAACATCATGGCTCATTGGAACGGTCCGGGCCTAGCTAAGGCTCAAATTTGGGGACAATTGGGTTTTATCGTCATCTTTCAACTCAAGAAATTTCTTCAAGTTACGACAATTTGACAATGAATTTAAAAATAACAATTTTGATCAGATTCGTTTGATTCGATTTGGTTAATTTGTTTTGAGCGAGTAAATCCGGTTCGTAAGTGAGAGGCAGACATGGGTATTCTCCTCGACATATCGTGCTCTGTCTCATTCATTCTCATCCGATTTTGTTTAAATTGCATGTAATTTTTTACTTAGGATTTTACTTTATTAATTAGCTCATATATTAGATATAATTAAGTTTTAAATAAGTTAGAACCTCAACCTCTCAAATAATTTAACTACATTTAGTATATTATAGTTTGTTTATTGGCTTTCTAATGAAAAATGAACATTCCTAAAAATTTTCTTTTAAATTACATATCCATATGGTTTGACATGCCCAATCAGAGTCATGTAATAAATTATACGATCTACCATGATATCTATACCCCGCTCTGGATCTGTCTCATTGCCATTGTTACTCATGAAAACCTTCGAGTAAATACTACAAATGAAAAAAGATGATATGAGTGTTATCTTGATGTCGGATATTAATTTGACGCTGTGTATATCATAAAAATATAAATTCAAGCAAAATATTAGTAGTCATGTTTGTTATGGGACAATCCAAGTACCACATTGGTAATACAAGGGAAGGGACCCTTGTATATTAGTGTCCACCAAGCCCAACTGGTACGAGGCCTTTTGAGAAGGATACCCAAGAGTAAAATCATCCGAGCTTAGCCCAAAGCGGACAATATCATACTAATTGAGTTGCCCGGTTACGACAAGTGGTATCAGAACCTGGTTCGGTTCGGGACGGTGGGCGTAAGTTTGGTGGGACCCTCATTCGGTGACCTCGAGATTTGAGATCTGCGTCTGGCGGACAATATCATATTAATTGAGTTGCCCGGTTACGACAAGTGGTATCAGAACATGGTTCGGTTCGGGACGGTGGGCGTAAGTTTGGTGGGACCCTCATTCGGTGACCTTAGGATTTGAGATCTGCGTCTGGTTTGGTGAATCCACGAGAGATCCATGTATGTTTGGCGGATCAAAGAGAGTTCCGAGTATAGGAAAAATCCTTGTACCGAGAAGCACATCGGTACAAGGTGTCTGGCGAATCAAGATAATCGCTGAGGAGAGGACACGATGTTCGCAGTCTTTGGCTTGAGGAGAGGATTGTTAGGGTACAATCCGAGTTTCACATCGGTAATACAAGAGAAGGAACTCTTGTATATAAGTGTCCACCTAGCCCAATTAGTACGAGGCATTTTGGGGAGGATACCCAAAAGTAAATCCGTGCGGGCTTGACCCAAAACGAATAATATCGTACAAATTGAGCTACCCAATTTCGACAATATTGTTCCTCAATGTCATTTTATCTACTTAAGAAAGCTTATCAAATATATGTTTCTTCTTCATTGTACATCTTAGCTCAAAGACATTTTATAAGTCATTTTCTGTAACAGACTCGTTTTTTATTTTCTCCTCACCCATCGGTCTCAACTCTCAAGCCTTGACTCGTAAGATTCTTACCCAAAACCCTTATGACGAGCTCATCCTTCATCCTGGTTGTACTCCACAGTACACTAAACTTTGCCAGAAATTGTATGAATTTGTCTTGAACACGAACAGGGGATGTGAAAAGTGGTTCGTCGAAGGTGCTGAAAGTTGAAGAGAGCGAATGCATGTGGAGGTGGGCAGGCAAGAAAGGAACCTAGCTAGAAGAATCTGGCCCTGGCGCACAAATTTTATAATAAGACAATGGGCTACAATTATTATTGCTATAATGAGACAGCGGGTCTTATGATAACGGAAGGTGATAATTTTCAACTTAAATTAATGGACTTTCCTCGTCGGTAAGTCTTATATGACACATAATTATCGAATTGGAGTTTCTACTTTTATGTCAGGAAAATATTTTTCAAATAATTTGAACCCGGCGCAGAAAAATATTTCTCCATTTGCTAGTTGCGAAATGGGATTTAGCTTAAGTTTGGGCCAGACAAGAAATACGACGGCATATGAGTCCTATTTCCACCGGCGCGGATGCCTTGATTGTCGGTTAAGTCAAAGAAAGATTATACATTTTCATGTATCCCAACTCACATAGACCGACAACTTGATTCCCCTCTCACATGCCTAAAATGCACCAATGATTCACAAATCACAGTAGAAGACAGAAGATTCACAACAGAAGACAGAAGGTGGTTTGCCCTATATAAGCGTAGGAAAAAAAGAGATTAGTTGAATGATCATGTATATAGATGCCTAATAGTACTGTAACAAGTATATTTCAATGCACGATGAAATCAAAACACCCTAATGTAGGAAGGAAGGTTAGTAGTTTTAGGGCTGGGATATCAGTTTCGATTTTTCAGTTTAAACCAATTTCGAACCGATAAGGACCATGTTGGTTTTAGATTTTCTATCCCAAATGGGTTCGTATCTTATCAGTTTTGGTTCAAACCGAAGCGGTAAGACTTCAAAACATGAATCAATAGTTTAGGGGTGTAGGGTTTCGGTTTTAATTGGGGGCGTATGATTTCGGTTTGTTCTAATCGAAACGACACTTGATAAGGTCTTCTCATATTTCGATTAAACCGAAATCAATAAGCCCTTAACATATTCGATTTCGATTTTGGATAACCATCCCAGTTCATTTTTTTATTTTTTTAATGGTTTCGGTTCGGTTAACCCAACGACACCTCTAGGTTATAGTTTAATGCATACATGGGCAGCTGGCGCATATCAAGTCTACCAAATGAAAACAAAGATAATGCGTGCAAAATCAAGTTTGATTATGGTTTGCCGCTTTTTCTTTATCCCCCAATATTCTACAGTTTCCTTTCCTGTGCGAGACAGCAAATCATCAATGAAAGCTCAGTTGGAAACCAAGTGCTTTCTTTTTCGGCTATTTATTTGTCAGAAATGCAGCGGCGAATTGATAAAAATGGTGGATGTTCCATAATATTATTATGTGACAGCTAAAGACAAACTATGAAGAAATTGTGGGAAATATATTTACGTAAATAAACTGTAATTACTGGTTATACAAAATTATTGTTTTTTCATGAATTTTACGTGAATATATTTATAGGACAAGTAGGTAGTAGAAATAAATCAAAATTACAAAGAATAAAGTACTTTTTTTTTTTTGTGTATGATTACTCGCACAAGTCACTCTTCTTCGGGCAGCCGGGCAGCACCCTCCAAAAACCAAAAGTCCAACTCCGCGTTTTCCCTCACTGCCTGCCCGTCCAGCTCAGAACACCTGCCCCGTGAGCTGTCATCTCATCATTCTCACTTACTCCCTTCAACTAATCCCACAACAAAAGAATTAAACTAATCACGATTTGCCAAATTACAAAACGGTCCCTCAACTCTTCCACAGTCCCTCTCAGATCCTCAAAATCAAAATCAATCGTAAGTGCAGGCATGCTTGAGCGAGATCGTGGCGTTGGCCTTGTTCGGATTGAACGTAATGTCGCACCCGATCGTCTTGTAGAATCTCGGCTTCACCAATTTCCCCAGAACGTAAGCTCTAGATCGGACGGTGAAGTTCAGCGTCAGGTGGACCGGCAGCAAGGGTTTTCCGGTGGCCGTGCTGCTCAGCCCTGCTCCGCTGCCGTACATCGGGATCTTGTCGCTCGCGATGGATATCGCCACCGACCTCTGGCTGCTCCTCTTCTGATAAAACCGCTTGATCTGCGGAAATTCACCGATTCAGATACCTAATTATGAGAATTTGGGGATTGGAAGAGTTTAGAAGAGAGATTATGAGATTCTCACCGTTCCCGTGGCGATTGCGAGTTGCGAGTAAGTCAGATCCAGAGGCGTCGAGGTCACGTGAACGCCGAAGAAAGTTCCGGTGTTGCGGTAGATCATTCTGACGGTGGAGTTGACGGTGATCATATCGGTAGCTACTCCGGAGGCGTCGGAGCCGGCTTGGATGTTGAAACGCTCGAACTTAATGCTCTGCAACAATAGTTAAGCCAGAATTGAGCTCAATTGGAAAATTACGACTCTGGATTTGGGGGAAATTCCGAAATTGAAGTAAGATTCGAGCTCCGTACCTTCATTGTGATCTTGGGCTTTTGGGGCCTGCTAGCTCCCCAGAGAATCAGAGAGAAGAAAGAGAAGAGGACGAAGAACCCCAGAACAAAAGCAAGGACGTAGCAGCGGCGGGGGATTCCCCTGCGGCGCTCTTCGTCTTCGAGCAGGCCTTCTTCCTCAATCACATCGACTTCTTTCCACTGCTTCTGGTTCCCTTTCCGATGCCCGCCGCCTCTGGAGGCGTCGTTGGGGGAGATCTTCCTAGATCCGGGCTTGAGGGAGCCGGAGAAGCGGGTGGAGGAGGATTCCCGGGAGTGGTGGCCGACGGAGGAGTGGGAGTGGGGCGGGGAGGCAACGGGGCTGAGGACCGGGGTGGAGTGGAAGGAAGTGGTGGTCTTCTCGCCGTCGTGGGAGTCGCGGGAGGGGGACTGGACGAAGTAGGCCGGGCGGCGGGGGGATCTGGTCGGCGACGACGGCGCCAGGCTGGTCACCTCGGAGTCGGTCTTGGCGTGCATTTTTTGGGTTATTGGAGGGAATGGGAGTGAGTGGGAAAAGATGAGAGGAGAGGAGCTTGCTTCAAGCGAAGGAAGAAGAAAAAGGGGTTTTATGGGAATGGGGGAAGTGAAAGGGGGAAATTGGTGAGGGAGCTCCAACGTAGAGTGATGAGCTATAGTCGGCGGAAATTGGTAGTTTAATGACAGATTATCTTTTGATTTTTATTAATAGAAGTGACAGATTGTTTTTAGGAAGAAATAAAATGATTGATTAATTAGCAAGGGTTTAGCCGTTTTAGAGGACAGATAATAATGAGTGCGGATTAGGTCAGTAATTTTATAGTGAGTAATCATGAGTAACTTATCCACATTAGCATGACATCAATAGTTTCTCTCTTGGAAAGTCTTTTATATTTTCTCCTTTAATCTTTAACGAACGATTTCTCTCTCGTTTTAAGTCGAAATTTAATTTTTTTTTTCACAGATAAATCAGATTAAATATGCTCTTCAAAATGATATCCACTTTGATATATTTTTAGTACAAAAAAAATTGAATAACTTTTTACCAGTCATTACCATATGGTATGCTCCAATTTAATACCAGATGGTAAGAAATCGTGCAATGATGGTATAAACATACCAATATGGTAAGAAGATTGAATACATTATAGTACGAGTATATTAACTGTCATTTACGACTTTCATCATTGTTTACTACAAGTTACCACAAGTTACCAATCAAATACCATAGTGGTAAAGCATGGTAATTTTTGATCAATTATTTTTTTCACCCAGAAATTTATTGATCCAATAGATCATGATGAACTCGTTCCTTCTGAGCAAACATTTTAAAAACGACTTAAGAAGAAGAAGTTACCATATGGTATGTAGTTGGTAAAAAAAGGCAAAATACACTTGTATAGCCAAAACTTTCACATTTGTGCCAATAATAGCCAAATTTGGAGAAATACCACTTATAGCCACTTCCGTCCAATTCTTTAACGGTGTCATCTAACAAGCTGACTGGACTAACATAAACGTTGACGTGGCGACGTTTTGTTAGTAGCATTGCCACATGGATGTAACTTTAAAAAATACAAAATACAAATAAAAAAATCACTTCCCAATTGTCGGCCAAATGCTAGCAGAGGAGAGTTATCAAAAGAAAAAAAGTTTGCTAGGAGAGGAGAATGGCAAGGTTTACAGGCGGTGAATTTGGAGGAATATGAGATCGAGTTTTTGCCTGCCGCTGTACACTGGCGAAGGGGAATCAATGACTATCACCACATTCAACTGAAGGAGAACCAAATCCCAAACTCCCCTACTGATTCGAATTCGGCCAAAGACGAAAACGACTAGATCTGAGCTCCACTGCATCGACCGGCCTGCGATCCTATACGCAACGACGAAGAATCGCAGCCTCTATGCTGATTCCCTTGTAGCCGCACTTTGCACTCAGATTACACGTCGGGGATGGAGGCTACGGCGACAACAGGTGACCGGCGATGCAATACATCTTTCGTGAATAACCGACCGAACTCCAATAACCCGATTAAAACGCCCAACTTCACCACTTCGACCAACCCGCCTCTTCTCTCAACCGATTCTCACTTTTCCTCGCAAAAAGGTGAACATCCTGATCGATGTCTCGGCGTCTTCCCCAGTGGAACACATCCTTCAATCGGCCTTATATCTCTCTATTGCTTCCTCTTCACTGAGAATTTTGAATCTCTAGACCTTTACCTTCTTAATCTGGAATTTGTATTGGGGCAGAAGGGATTAGAGATTTGCAGGGGAGGAGGGATTAGGGATTTTCAGGGAGAACGAAGGGAAAGATGTTCACTCAGGTATCGATTGGGGTTATATGGAAGATAAATCTTCTGAGTTTTTTTAGGTCTTCGAGAAGATGGTGGCTGAGCGCTGCTCGCCGCGGCCACCTGGTTTGGAGGAAGGAGACAACTGGTAGGGATAGGGGAAAATTAGGAATTTTTTTAATGTTATTTTTGTTGCAAAATTAATTATTTTTATAAATCAAAACTAACGACGTGGCAATGATATGATGATTTGTTGCTGATGTGTGCGATGATTTGGCATCCTAGTCACTCTAACGTTAACCTAACTGACGGAGTTTCTAACACCGTTAAAGTTTGTAACGGAAATGGCTATATTTGTCATGAAACTTTCAAAATTCTGGCTATAAGTGGTATTTCTCCAAATTTGGCTATTATTGGCAAAAACGCGAAAGTTTTGGCTATACAAGTGTATTTGCCTAAAAAAAAGTTTCTCGAAATATATTGAAAATTGATCTAATTTTGTAGAGCACAACGAACTCGTTCCATCTGTGCAAAAAAAAATTGAAATCCGAGTTAGAACGAAGAAGATAAGAGCTAATTAAGAAAACTAGGGAAAATAAAATGACTTTAATTGACAACCCTTAGATCTGAATTTTCTGGAGCCACTTAAATCTAAAGGTCCAGATTTAGTTGCTCATAGGTTAGTAACCATTGGTTACTGACCCTATCCTAAGCCGAGTGTGCATTGTTGAATGTCGTTGGAAAAATTCCGCTAATTCATTGTTTCAGTTGGGCCTGGGCTGCGAAGCCCAATTTTTTCCCCGGTCATATTAGGTGATTCAAGAAGAGGAAAATAAGAACGAGGTACAAATGTTCACGCAAATTAAAATTAAAATCGGACCCCTGCTACAAATGGGATGATGAAAACACTTAAACCTGAAAACTTAAGGAGTTGTTTAAATCTTTCAAGTGACGTAGTTAATGAAAATTAGTAGTTAATACTTAATAGATAGTTAAGGATAATTAGGTTATTATAAGTACTTTAAAATTTAATCAGCAACACCCTAATTGAGTGAGTTCTTCACACACTTTTTTTCATGATCTCTGCTCTTTTCATCTTGCCGCCGCCGGCCAACCCAACCCTCCTCTTCCTCCTCTCTCTCTCAGGTCTTTTACCCGACGGATCTCTTCTTCTCTTGTCGCCGACAACCATCCCAATCCCAATTTCCCTATCTATACAGGTGTTTTGTTGGTCGCCATCAATCGGCGAGGGAGAAAACTTGAAAGTATTAAACTGTATATTCGTATGTATGTGTAGTGTAGAAAAGCCCATGTAGTTCCTCCAAATGAAATAACCGACCTTTCTTACTCCCCCTTCCGATCGGCCTCTCTGTTGTCGTGTCCTGAATAACACAGCTGGATGGAGCAAACAAAATAGAAAATCCTTGCTCAGTCATTTGCCCTACTGAAATTAAATTAGGAACTAATCTAGGAACATGTATAGTATCTTGTAACTGCACGGCATGATCAACGACATTCCCAACACTAGAGACTTCTAATTTATCACCATTAGCCACGGTTAAACTCAAATCATGAACATGACGTGTATTTTGCAGCAGCCTAGAGTCTCTAGTCATATGGTTATAACATGCTGAATCGAGAAGCCAGGGAGAGTGTTTACCGTTGCCTGGAAGAGTGGCAAATGTTGTACTTATGGCAGTAGGGGAGGGACCTCTGCAAAGCTTCGTTCATCATCTGTTCTACAGAAGAATGCGAGAGAGTTCCATGCCTACCAACTCCAATTTGCTGCTGTGATGGCTGCTGAGTTTGTGCGCCATATTCAGCTGCGCCTCCCCAGCCTACAAACTCATTTGGAAAAGCTCCATAGGCTGGTCGTGATCCTCCATAAGCTGGTTGTGAGGATTCTCCAGGTCCTGAACGAGGAGGTGGAGGACCATACTTGGCTTCATTCTTCTCCCTTGTACGACACTCAAGGATTATATGGCCCATTCTTTTACAATATACGCAAAAGTTATGACGTTTGCAATGTTTATGTAAATGCCCTTTCTCCCGGCAATGATGATATAGCAATTCTGAGTTGGGAATTCTCCTTTGAAATTGAGGCTGATCAACAGCAAACACATGAGAGTTACCTCTCTTATCCATCCCTTAGTCGAGTCTCCTCTCCAACCAAGGTGCCAAGAACACCTTCAAATTTCAAATCGTCCTTGTTCAACAGAGAAGATCAGAAAGTTTCAAAGTCGGGGCGCAGGCGCATCAGGAAATGAAGAAGCCGCGTTCGCTGACGTTCCTCCAGTGCATCAATGGTGACAGCGGCATTCGGACGGAGAGCAGTTTGTAGGAGATCTTCTTCTGTCCATAGTTCTTGTGACTGATTGAAGTACTCAGTAATAGATTTGTCACCCTGTTCCAAACGGTCAAGGGACAATTGGATTTCGAACAGACCCGCAGCATTAACACTCGAGTATGTTGAAGCTAGGTGCCTCCACATTCTGTTGGCCGTCGGAAAGGTGCGAAGGCTGAGACAAGTAGATGAATCTACCGATCCCAACAACCAAAATCGAATACGAGCATCATTTTTATTTACCATGTTACACGTTTTACCTGGGTCTACTTTCTTCGTCTCAAATCCGAACTTAAAGTTGCTGTTGAGTTTCTAAATATGATTCATACTCAATTTGGAAACACTGTCAAAATAATTCGTTCTAATCCAAGTGGGGAATTTAGTTCTTTTCCCCTCCGTGATGAGTATCGTGCTCGTGGTATTTTGAGCCAAAAATCGCGTCCTGGTATTTCGCAGCAAAATGGTTTGGTAGAGCGTAAAAATCAACAGTACAGGAGTATCGTTGGGAGCTTAATCTATTTGGCCGCTACTCGTTCGGACATTTCATATGTTGTGCAACTGTTGAGTCAGTTTATGACTAATCCCTGTGTAGATCATTTAGCTGTAGTGCACCGGATACTCCGCTACTTGCAAGGAACTCGAGATGTTGGCATTATTTTTCCTTCTACTGGAGGTACACGACTACGTGCCTTCTCATACTCAGACTATGCCGGTTGCATAGATACCCGCCGTTCAACTACAGGATGGTGTGTTCAGTTTGGGGATGCTTATGTATCTTGGAGGTGTAAAAAGCAGGATAAAGTATCCAAATCTTCTACTGAGGCAGAGTATCGGGCAATGTCAGATGTCACTTCAGAACTGGTCTGGGTTCGCAGATTGCTGGCTGATCTTGGCGTAGCTTGTCCATTACCTATGGAGTTGATGGTGGATACGAGTGCGATCCGCATTGCCGTAAATCCGGTACTGCATGATCGTACCAAACACATTGAGATACATGTTCACTACGTTCGGGATATGGTTCGGGATGGGACTATCACAGGCACTACATACGAACAGAAGATCAAATAGAAGACTTACTCACGAAGACCTTCAACACTAGTCGGCATTGGTTTCTGTCTAGCAAATTGATGCTGTTAGACACGCATCAATTTGGTGGAGGATATTAAACTTATATTCGTATGTATGTGTAGTGTAGAAAAGCCCATGACATAATTAGGCCCATGTAGTCCATGCGAGCTATGTGTGACGTGAGGAAACCTAGCTCCTAGGGTGCGTTCACTATATGTTTGAAGAGCAGCAGATACTGTCATCATCAGTTTCCGAAATCTTCAATCGGTAAAATCAGTAGCTGCAGAGCTTTCTAGCTCTGCCGTGGACTAGTCCTGGTTAATCCAGGGATACCACGTAAATCAATTGCCTTCTTCTTTTATTTCCGTTACTGTCAATCCGTCAACAGACTGATGTCTACATAATGGATGTAGCTCCCTGGAACTATCACTTCCACTTTCTGAACCAAAGGTTAGCACCTTATAGATAGGATGAACAACATCATCAAGATTTTCCCTACCGAGCGACTATGGATAACTAAACATGAAATCTAAATAGTAGGATTGAAAGATATCTCAACGGTGATATGATCCTGATTCGTAGAGAACCCTCGAACTCGGATTATATGACCAAAGTACGCAGCCTTCCTTCTTTTTAAGGATTTTCAAAGCTTTTCTCCAACTTGAACAACTCGAAATAAAAGATAGATGCGGAATCAATCGGACAATCTAAACTCGTGACAAAGGGCAATTGGTATATTAAACCAATCGGACATAATCAACTTGCGGAAAGGGGCAATTGATATAGGGTAGATGCTCGCCACAACTAGACGCGTTCTCTAGTTGATAAGAGACAAGTGAAAATCTCCTGGAATCCTCAACAAAAGGATTAACACAAACGTTCACGAAGAAACACGAGTAAGCACTCTAAACTTTGATTTGAATATTGGATATTGGGTACCAAAATTCGTAGCTCTTACACCCTCTATTTATAGAGGTCAAAAAACATAAAACTAACCTAAAAGGAATAAGAAAATAAATCCCAAACTAACTTGAAAATATAATACTACTTTAATAAGACTAAAACTACTAATTAAATAAACACAAATGCACCGACCAGGCAGCAGATAGGGTCAGTAACCAGTGGTTACTAACATGTCAGTAATGAATAGGGACCATAGATCTAAGAGGTAGGCAATCGTGTGGTTGGGCCGGACGCTGAGTGGGGAAGGGTATTTTTGTCCGTTTATACATTAAATTCTTTATTTTATTTTATTTCGTATTTAATGGCTGCACTTTCAAAGAAGGAAAGAGAAATCACTTCTCTGCAACTTTCTATCTTCCTTTTTCTCTCCCAATCTCTTTTCCAGATCCTCTCTTTCTCTCTTCCTTTTTCTCTCTCAATCTCATTTCTAGATCTAAATCTGCTCCCTTCTCTTCTTCTTTATTTTTTTTCATGACGAATAAAAATTGGAGCCACTCTTTTTCATTGCATTTCTTCTCTTCATCATCTCATTGGCCTCAATTTTGATCTTTCTCATTTTTTCGACATTTTGGTGTTCTTGATTGCGGAAGAGGAAATGAGAGGTGACACAAGACGATTTTTTTCTCTATCTCCTTCTGTTTTTTTTCTTTTAGATTATATACATTGATATTATAACTCTATACCATATGGTATTCGGTGGTAACGAAATATATATTGATATTACCACACTATACCATATGGTAATGTATGGTATTGTGTGGTAACGAATTATATATTGATATTACCACACTATACCATATGGTAATATATGTATTGTGTGGTAACGAATTATATATTGATATTACCACACTATACCATATGATATTGTATGGTATTGTGTGATATTACCACACTATACCATATGGTATTGGGTGGTAACGAAATATATATTTATTACCACATTATACCATATGGTATTGGGTGGTAACGAAATATATATTGATATTACCACACTATACCATATGATATTGGGTGGTAACGTAATATATATTGATATTACCACATTATACCATATGATATTGGGTGGTAACGAAATATATATTGATATTACCACACTATACCATATGGTATTGGGTGGTAACGTAATATATATTGATGTGTTAAATTTTTTTCATACCATATGGTATGGTCAATACCAGTCAATACCATATGGTATAGACTGGTAATAACTGACAAATTTTTTTATGTCCAAAAAATATCAAAGTGAATATCATTTTGAAGAGCACAATTAATCTGATCTAACTGTGCAAAAAAAATTAAATTCTGACTTAAAACGAGTGAGAAATCGTCCGTTAAAGATTAAGAGAAGGAAAATTAAAGATTTTTTCGAGGAGAGAGAAGGCGCTGATGTGATCGGTCAAAAGTCAGCGTTAGCAATAAATAGAGATAGGAGCAATTTTACCTTATTGTCCTTTCGTATTTAATTTAAATAAAAAAGGGGACTAACACGTGGCGACAAAAGAAGAAGTTACCCATAATTTAATATACATTTGGTCCCCACCGACCATGCAGCTGGCGTCCTCCGTTTCCTTAGCTGATACGAGCATTCTTCCTTTTAATTGTTGGCAGCGGAAACTACACTTAACCCTCAATAATTCACCACAATTAATCCATGCAAGTCTTCATCACGCAGGCAATTGTGCACCGTCCAAATAATTCATGGAAATGGAAATCAACATCCATGCTAATTAACCCATGCAAATAACGACAAAGCTAGCTTTCCTCTTTCCACCAACCAAACTAGCTAATTAATCCATCAGACAATTCGTCACTTTAAAAGTTGGCAGCTGCTATTCATTCGTTGTATCGCCATTTATCTATTAAGCACGCTCCCAATCGATTCTTATATCGTTGAATTCGAGCCTTCATTTTTGGACCGCGGGAATTAAATATCGCGCTAGTCGATATCGCATCAAACGAAGTTAAAGCCGATGAGTATTCTTACTTCCCGCTTGATAACTCAACGATGCACCAAGTAGGTATTTATTAAAAAACATCACTTCTAATTGTGAACACTCGGTCAAATTGAATGTCGATAAATATGCTACCCAATTATAGTTGCCTTTTTCTTTCAATATTTTGAATATATGTTATCAAATTGATTGGTTCATATTTAGTTACATAAACTTCATAACCTATCTTCATCTTTAGTTGACTGAATCCCTCCTTAAATGATTGACTAAGCACTTATTGATTACAACAAACAAATGCGACTTAACAGAGGATTAGTATATGTATAAATATATCTCTTGCCTATAAGTCATTGGACTCAAAATACAAACAATCTCAAGTAAAATTTGTATTTTCAAGGTTGTAATTGAAATATCAACAAGATGAAGACGACTCAATCAATCAATATCCTCTTCATCTTCTTGGTTCTCCTCATTGTTTCTGGTAAATTTCCAACTCCATCACTCTCTAGCTCTTTCATATTATTCACTTTCAGTAATCAATCTATATCCATCAATTCAAGCCCCTATAGCTGTAAGCTCAATTTGGAACGAACAATACTTTGATTCTACTATGTTTTGTTTTGTGTGAAGGAAATTGTCGGGGAAGGCAGTTGCGTGCAGACAATGTAAGGGTGCTCAGGTTTTGTCGCGCGGCAACATTGAAATTGAATAGCCCGAGAGAATGCTCGCTTGAGTATTGTGAAAGGAAATGTGCACAAGTTGCACAAGCATATTACAGACCCTATGATTTTGGAAGATGCAATTATTCAACCATGAAATGTGACTGTTACCAGCGTTGTCGGCCGCAATAAAAAGACGAGAGTGTTTAGGGGTTTTCTTTTTGCATAATTATTATGTCTCACATTTCGTTGGATGTTGAAATGTTTCGTTTCATAAATTGTTTCAGTAAATTATCCATTTTTCCGGTTAATTAATGGAACGTTTTATTGGCGAATGATAAAGTAGGGTTTTTTACTTCCAGGTTTCTCCATATGAGTTGATGGTAAGGAATCCTTGGATGGCAATGCTTAGCTGCTGTCTGGGTTGCAGCCAAACGTTGCTACCCATTGACATGGGACCATATTATTGGCTCAAACAATGCTAATTAACTATTAAACTTAATTGTACCGAGCGATTATTGCCTACGCCGGGAGTACCACGTGGATTGGTGATGTGGTGCTCCCGGCAAATAAACATTCGCCACGTATCGTTTAATTATTAACAGCAGCCTCTCTCTCTTCCCGCAATAAAGCATCATTAAACCCCCCTTCTTTCTTTTCTTTTATCCAAGAAAAACCCTTCTCTCATCCGGCAGCAGAGCAACCGGAGATTAGATCCCCTGTTCCTTCTCTCTCTCAGCCGCCGAGAAGCCATGGAGGGAAGGCTTTGGTTCAGTCCTGAGTACGATGAGATCTCCGCCACAATATCCAACCCAAATCCACCATCAATCCAAATCTGTCATTGACGAGGCTACTGGCGACCCTTTTCTCCTTCCCAAAACAGAAATTGATGAAACAGGGGTCACTTAGATTCAGCTGACAGAAGGTGAAGCTATAGTGTGATTGAGTGTTGTGTTTATTTCCTTTTATTTTGTTATTTTTGGTGGTAATGTGCTTTGTGGGTAGGTTCTGTGGGCGTGGGTAAGCTTCTTTTGAACCCCTTCAGGCCTTCACAACATCAAATAGAAGAAAAAATATATTTATGCTTGCATGTCGATTTAGGATTTTATTTGGTCCTAGATTTTGTGGCTTTATGAATTTGGTGACCATTTGGTTGTGAGCCATTTTTCTGATTGAAAAATTGGAGTGGGTTAGTGGGTGGAATCTGGCCGGAGTTTCCGGCATAAGAAGACGGCGGGAGGATTCTCGATTCTGGGGGCTTCCAACGGAAGAAGACGACGGCTGCTATGGGAGTTCTGGGGTTTGGCTAAAGGAGGAGGGTTAATTATATATTATTTTCTTATTGAAGTAATTACAGAAATGGAAATTAAAAATCTCAGTAAAAACGTTTTCACTTAAAATGAGTTAATGAGACTTAATTGACACGTGGCGAATGTTTATTTGCCGGGAGCACCACATCACCAATCCACGTGGTACTCCCGGCGTAGGCAATAATCGCTAGGACGGGACGGAAACCAGTTTTTTTCTGGAGGTGACGGAGAAGCAGCCCAAACGGCAAACGATGCCTGGCCTGCCTCTTTAATTTTTATTGTTTTATATTTATTTATTAATTAAAAAGGGAGAATAGAATTAAACAAACAGAGGTGTACTCCCCTACTAATTGTACTTGCTTTCCAGCCTAATATTGGAGTCTGTAGACCTCCAGGCCTCTTTTTGTCTTAAACATCACGGCCATAGTTCTAACCTTCTTTATGTTTTTTTTATATAAAATATGGAGCGTGAATTAAATCCATGCTTGAATTGGAATTAAGATACTGATACAAGTTTTCTTCTTCTAAATCAGATAAGAATTTATTGAGAGGAGTGATATAATTTTAAGTACAACAGATTTCGATCTTTCTTGTACTATTTTTATCACATTTTTCGTGTACTATTAGAAGCATATTAAGTTGTAATGATATGCCCAATAGATTTTATCTACAAAGAATTTTAGATAGATATAATCTGAAATTCGGAGAACATACTATCAAACGAATTAAGTATAGTAGAGTAACACAAAAGCCAAAACATCCCTCCCAAATTCGAAGAACATTCTTTTGTCTTCAACAAGATGTTCTCAACAAAGCAAGTAACATACACATCCAAAAGTTCAAAAAACACATTTACCAACAGAAAGTGGACCAACTTCATAAAAATATCCGACCTCGCATTTATTATGCAGACATTCTATAGGTTTATCTAATGATTTTGCCCGATAGAGCTTTGGTTCCGATGTGCTGATCAACGGTCTTCCTAAAACATTTCCTTTAGAAGAAATAAAAAGTACGAACATTGTTAGTTCCAAAGCTTTGAGTAAAGAATTAATGATAGTAAGAAATACGAAAGAAAGAGAGTTAGAAAGTTACTAGAAACAAGGAGAACCAAGAAGATCAAGAGGGCATTGATTGATTGAGTCTTCATAATGTTGATTTCTTATAATCTCGAAAACAAGAATTTTAATAGGAGTAGAGCTATGGCTAATGGTCTATTGTGTCTAGTGATTAATAGATAACACACCTCTATATGTTGATTTACCGTTTAAAAAAATAAATGTAACAATTCCTATGTTTGGCCCGGCTTTTAGTAGTGCTTTTCGGCTTCAAAAGCTGAAGCAGGACCAAATACCCGTAAAAGCTCGGCTTTTGAAAAGCCGAAAAGCGCTTTTGTATAACATAAAGCAGAAGGTCCGATTTGGAGCTTCTGCGAAAAGCTGTTTTGAAAATACAAGATTATCCTTACCATATTTTAATTTTATTTCAGAAAATATAATTTTCCTTCATTTATATCATTTTAAAAATAAAATAAATTATAAAATCATATTATTTAATATAAAAGAAATCTAACAAGATCCATTTTGACTACTTTTTATTGTTTATAATTTTTATTCATATTTTATATTATAAGTCCTTTATAGCCATTTTACATAATCTCTCATATTAAAAAGCACTTCTAATAGTTTTACAGCCAAACAATCAAATGTTTTTAAAAAAAATACTTATCTAAAAGCTCCAGCCAGAAGCTGTTTCTGCAAAGGCTACAGGAGGGCTAAACTAAGCTAATCTTCGATTGAGTCGCATTTTTTATCGTGCCAATAGGTATTTAGGCAACTGATATCAACAGTTCCTACTTTTATTATCTCAAGATTTTTGCTCAAATGAACGTATCATTTATCTTCCATTTAACGAGTATTTCGGGAAACGTTTGTTGATTGATTTTGGTTGCATTTTGTGGTGGAATGCCAAGATTATTAGATTTTTATAACGTCTATAGCTTTTTATTCGTGAATAAAAGGAGGAAAAGAAATAATAGAAAATGTTGTTACACGGATAAAATACAACAATTTTTAATTTTTATTATTCAATAGATAGTAAGAATGTGATATAAAAGAAAATATATTTTAGTTTTTACAATGAATAAGTTAAGAGCAGTAGTTGTTCTAAAGTTGAATTACCTACCAAATACCATGTTTTAGGATGACATAATAAAAATGACTTTACTATGGTGATTTGCAAGTCACTTGACTTGGGCAAAACGATCGATCTTTTAACTAATTAGGTCGACCTATTTGAACAAAACGATCGACATCTTCACTGATATGGTCGACCTATTTGGATAAAATGGTTGACCTTGTTGTTGGAATGACCGACCAAATGTACGATTTTCTATTTTGCTATGTTTAACAAACGACCGACCTCTTCCACTAAAAGGTCGTCCACTCTACAAAAAATGGTCTACCACTTCCATCAAGTGGTTTACCTCTTTCCCCAAGCGGTTCACCGCTTTCAATAATTGGTCCACCTGATGAACCATTGCTAGTGATATCTTCACATATAATTAGAGTCCAATAATACTAAGAGATTTAAAATTAGTACAAAGGTAGCAAGCACAGATGACATGTTTCTCGAGTGATTTTTCTCCCATAGATTTGAAACATGTTCTACATATTTACTTCTTATATTTGACTTAATCTCTACAGAGACTTTCATCTTTCCTTCAAATTGTAATTTTTTTTGTTTCTATCTTATAGTTGTCTTGTGATCGATGGATCAACTTTGTTGCTATTGTTGTTATGAAGATGCTCCAAAAGTATAGTATATTTGCTATACAATCGTGTCATCTTCAACTTCCATAAATCTCATATCATCGCTTTTGTGGATTTTTATTCCAGAATAGCTAAAAGAGGGCGTTTCTCTTTGTCTTGGTCTATAATCTGCATAGGGATTTGTTTCCTCACAGGTGATATGATGTAGTGTTACTACAGAACAATTTTATATCGTTGGTCTCCTATTGTCCATTATTTTCCTAATGTAAGTATAAGGTAACTGTGTCATCTGGTCGACCATTCGCCGAAAGCGTAGATCGTTCACCAAAATATGTACGTAAACCATTTTGCGGAATCAATATGCTATTTTGGCGGAAGCGGTCTACCTCCTCCAACAAGCAGGTGTAAGTTGAAGGTAAGTGTGTCACAGGTCAACTCATTGCCAGAAGCGGTAGACCGGTTGCCTCAAGTGGTAGACCGCTTGGTGAAAGTGGTAAACCATTTTCTTGGAAAGTTGTCGACCACTTGGTGGAAGAGGTCGACAACTTAAAGGTAATTGTGTAATCAGGTCGACCCATTTACGAAAGCGATAAAACGGTGACTCAAGTGATAGACCACTTGATGGAAGAGGTCGACCATTTTCTTGGAAAGTGGTCTACCACTTGAAGGTAAGTGTTTCGTCAGGTCGACCCATTTCCGGAAGTGGTAGACCGGTTGACTAAAGTGATAGACCACTTGGTGGAAGAGGTCAACCACTTGAAGGTAAGGGTGTCATCATGTCGACCCATGTTTGTAAGTGGTAGACCGGTTGACTCAAGTGGTAAACCACTTGGTGGAAGTGGCCGACCATTTTCTTGGAAAGTGTTTGACCACTTAATGGAAGAGGTCGACCGTTTTCTCAATGTTACCATGACTTTCAAGTCACCGTAGGCATACCCAATAAAAAAATGCCCATAAATACTCGAAAAACACTAAAGCATAACCAATTCACCAAAAATTTTAGGATTAATTTCAGTAAATAGTTAAATTTAAATTATAAATATAATATATAACTTTTAAACTCTTAGGATGCGAGTCAATAATATATTTATGAATTAGAGTATCTGTTTCTTTTTATCAAAATATAATTAAGTTGACAAAAATATGTAGTAAGGAAATGAAACCAATCTTTCACAAAGTGATTATATTGTTTATGTATACAAAAATTTAATCAAACTAAGAAGCAAACTATAGACCTCCCACCAAAAGAAATATATTAAGACTAGATATTTAAAAAGCAATCATAAAAATTGACAACACTGTGGGTCGAACTCCTAACCTCCAACAAGCAGAGACTTGGTTAAAAAAGTTAAATCAACAATATCATTTATAGCTGAAAAGTAAAACTGCAACCCCATTCAAATTTCCCTGCCAATAGAGTGATTTTAGGAGTCTGAGGTGGTAGGGTGTTTACGCCGGATTAAATTAGAAAATCCCTGCCTCACGGAGAGATAAGAAACCGTCGGTCCCCACTCCTTTTTTGTGGCTGAAATCACCTTCCATTTTCTTCTGGGTTATCTATGTTTTGCTTTCTCCTTCCCGCAGCACGGCAGGAGTCCATTTGTCAGCGGACAATTTTGGGAACAGGGACTGGAGCTTGCGGCTGATCGGAGGAAGGTGAGATTTGGTAGTTATGCGGTGAACGATTCTGCAGACAACCGCCGATTCGAAGGGGAGGCGAGATTGTTTCGGTTTGTTTGCTTCCGCTGCTTCTCTCAATATGGATTAGGTAGTTCTGCGTTGAACCCTTGCCAGCCACCCGACGATTTGAAGTCGAGCCCAGCGGGGAAAGCAGGATGGGCCGGTGAAGGGAGAAGGGAGACGGAGAGGCGACGCCAGAAGGGGTTTCCCTATTTACGTTCGCTTCTGGGACCGACAATCAGCAATGAAATTGGCGGATGTCAAGATGGTGATAATGACTGCGATGGCGAGGTAAGGAAGCTTAAAATCAACGGTAGCGGGGGAGAACAGAGCAGCAAGGAAACAGATCCGGCTGGCGACCAATGGTGGCAGTGTGGCAAACTGAATTCTAGGAACATGGCCGCCGACCTCGAGTACTGCCGTCGGCAAAGGAAACTCGGCTATCAGGCATGTTATCCTCCTCTGTTACCTTTGTTGTTATTCTGCTGTTTTCTGATGAATGAATTGGCTGGCTGGCCTTGGATGGGTTTTGTGTTCAATTAGCTGCATTGTCTCGTCATCGGAAACCATCTTGTCTGGACCTGATCATGAAGGCTAATATCAGCTGACATTGGTAATGAATAAACAACACAATTCATTCTCTCTCTTTCTCACACACACACACACACATTCGCAGTTCCTCGGAGAGAAAGTATTCTTTAGTACAAGTCAATCAGTTATCTATCTTCCACTACTAATCTTTCTTGATGACTATAGATGGGAGTTTTTTTTTTGTTGTAGCTTGCCCAATATCCAAAATTGTTGAACTACCTTAAGCTTGAACTGCCTTTCCAAGTTGTCAAAATTTGTGTCTTTGATGTGGGTTGTGGTTGGAATTTGGATTTTCTTTCATTCCAGGAGCGAGCTCAGTTCTCTGGACCCTTTCCTGATGATGGATGAATTTTCAGGTCTGTTTCAGTTTTCGGTTGTTCAGTGTATTAGGAATGATAAACATGCTTTCTTTCTCTTCTCAATGGGATGCTTTCTTTCCTGATGTTGGATGCATATGTGGTAGACCTTTTAGCTTTGATGCATTCTCGAAGAAGTGGAACTACACTCAGGACAAGAGCTTCAAATCATGAAATACAGTCTCATCTTCACAGTCACAGGTACGTACGTCTCACTTTGTTTGCAAGTGCTTTGTGTAATCCACTGATCGAGATGAATGCATAATGAAATATACCATTCACACCTCCTTTGCATCAATTACTTTCAGACAGGAAATTCATACCACAGTCAGTTAGCATCGGGTGGAAATGAATGCATAATCAAATCTCCCATTGACACCTCTTTGTGATCACAAACTTCTTCCAAACCAACACAATGAATTTACCTTCAATTGACAAAGAAACTTTTTATAAGCATACTTCCATTGCTCCTTCTCCAGTTGAACCATTTGGTCATCTGTCATTATTTAATTTTTGGAGAGCAACCTAAAGTGTGGTTTAATGAGAATTGATCTCCAGTCAACTTTGATTTGCTGGTTGAGAAGTGAAAAAATTGGAGTTAGCATTAATATAGACGTGGTGTTTAAATGGAGTTGGACATTTATATAGAATGCTCTGTCAATTGAAGAATAATTTGTTTGTATTACCTTGAACCCTTTTGTTCTAAAAGAGGACTAGAAGAAAACCCTCCCACCTTAATGAGATAAGGAAGAACTCCCACGTACTGAATCAAATTAACTTTAATTATAGTCCTCTGGCCCATCCTTATATGGATCAATTTAAAGCTTAAAACACTTGCCATTCACCTAAACAAGCCATTCACTTTAACTATCCCCGTAATGATTCCGGATTTGGCAATTTTTGCCCCACTGTCAACCAGTTTTTGACAAAGTTAAGCTCAAATTGAGCACTTAGCTTTTTTGAGATTTTGTTCCTTCACCAAGAGTGTGGTGACCATTGTAATTTAACAGACCGTAGCTGGAAATGGGATCACTTGCAGGTTGTGTTGGTTGCAAACTATGTTCCTGCTCTGAATGATCCAATTTTAATTGGAAGCGTTTTGTTTAGTTGTTCAGTATCCAGTCTATCATTTAGGATGTTTGCCATTGTTATGGCATTGTGACATTCTTAGAAGAGCTGCTGAAGCTGGAGGGCTGCTTCCAAATGCAATGATCACCAACTCAGATGGTTCCGAAGAGAATTCGTTATCACTCCCGGTAAGAGTTGTTGCGAATGGCTGTGGAATTCCATGCATTGACTTGAGGCCGGTCAGATCTGAGCTTTCTACTGCAATGGAGGCTGATCTGGTACTGGTGCCTGAGTCCATCGTAGAATTGTGTGCGTGTTTGTATTCATAATAGCTAAAGTCACTCAAGACAGAAGGGACACACAAGGTTAACCATTCAAGCTAAATGTTGCATGCGTCAAGAGCAATGAGGAACGACTCAAACAACTCTTACAACTTCGAAGCAAAATCTCAGGAGCAGACTTCACTTGGTCTTCAAAAATTTATGGTTCCTTTCTTTCCAGACGCTCTAGCAAAACGGATGAAGGAACACAAAGGTGGACGAAGCTTTCGAGTCCTTTGCCTTCAAATGAGATCAGGATGAGATGATATATGATTACTTCTTTGTATTTTCTAATTACAATGCTTCTTCTAATTAGTTTTGTCACCACCAGTTGTGGAATACATATTTAAGCATTGACCTCACCAGTATTAGAGATACCAGTAAGAATTATTGGTTAAGTCACCTAGAACTTTTTATGAATAATTAGACTATTTAGTATAACCTCATAACTCAAAATAAGAGTAACGGGATGTATGATACCTTTTTTAAGTGTGATGAGAAATGATTGAAAATGAAAAAGAAACAATGATTAATGCGACCAGAGTTGGATTAACTATATAAGTGAGTATAGATCAGACACTTGATATGTTAAATTTGCTAAATCTCATATAGTGATATGAATTTTTATAAATTCATGCTCAATCAGTTTTGGACAAAAACTTTACTGACGCTACGTAATTGGTATACATTTTTAGTATCTTCAAATGGTAGAGTTTGACCAATCTCGGAGGTGTTGTAATTTGAATACCAAATGAAACACCAAAATCAATGATCCAGATGCCTCATATCACTTTTTAAATATTCATTTGGTTTTCTAATGGGTTAATTTCATGGTTGGTAACTGGGTTTACTAAAAAGGTTCGCGTTTGGTCACTAAAAATATTTAATTTCATTAGTAGCCACTAAAATTATTTAAACATTTCAAGCTTGGTCACTCTCCGTCCAACTCTGTTAAATTTATCTAATGTGGCAGTCAACTATTAGAATTGATCATTAAGTGTGTGATCTGGCAATTAAATTTTTTTTTGGTTTTGTTATTTGACAATTATAATAGCCTTGAACTCTTCTCATATACTAATGTAAGCTCTTGACAACAGTTTTAACTAATTTACGAGATATATGTGTTATTAATGAATTAATATTGAGTAATTTATTTTCTTAACTATAATTTTATTGTTGATTGTTAACCATAAAGTTTGAAAAAAAATATGTGATGAATTTTATCCTTTTGTATTATGATGGCTTTGAACTCTTCTCATATGCTAATGTAAGCTCTTAACAACCACTACTATTTTATGTGATATATGTGCTATTTATGAATTAATACTGAGTAATTTACTTTCTTTAACTATTACTTTTTTGTTGATTGTTGACCATAAAGTTCGAACCAACTATGTAATGAATTTTATCCTTTCGTATTATCAATATTCAATAGGACAATCCCTTGGAATTTCTAATTACTATTTTACTGTATAATTGTCTTACATTCTTTTGTATTTAATAGAAAAATAAGTAAATAATATCAAATCTTATTAAATATTTAAATAATTAATGATACGAGTAAGAAGTACACAGATTTCTTATGAAATGTAAAAATATATAAACAAAAGTAACCTACGATAATATGATTATTAAAACTCCCTATGAACTAATTATCAGTAATGTCATAATAACAAATCAAAAATTTACTTTCAAATTATCAATAAATCATTTAAAATTTTCAAATTTGTGTAAAAATACAATCGATAAGCATAAGATTATAACAAATAAATGAAATTTATCCAATCAACAGGTCAACGAAAAAAATTAATTCCTCCATTTGATATCTAACAAAAGAAAAAATGAGGCTAGAAATGTATACAAATCAGTAAAAATACATATGAACTAATTACACGTAATATCATTAACAACGAGTATCACAAATATTACTTTTAATTGTGGGGAGACTAAACATTTAAATAATTTAAAATATAAATATTGATAACCATAAATGTACCAAATAAAATGAAATTGATCCGACCAACGGGTCGGGTAAAAGCTAGTACTCTTTATGATAAGTAGAATTTTTATCAACTTCCTTCGTTAAAAAAAAATTTATCCACTTCCAAATAAAGTAATTTGTTAGGTTGTTTGTAATGTTTGTATGATCTATTTTTTGTGATATTCCTTATTATTTATAAATATTATAAAAATCCTAATTTACATCATTTTAATTTTTGGATTAATAGTATTTTATACCTTTATATTGTTGTAAATTATCAAAAATACTCTTATACTATTATTAGCACATATATACCCTTACAGAAATATAACACACGTGTCATGCCATTCAAAATTCCGTTAATTGACCATTAAAGAAGACTAAAGATGACCAATTTGCACCTCACTTATATATCACATAAAATTTCAACTGACATGCAGAAAGCGACGACAAACTGCCAATAAGGCACCAAACACATGAAATTTGATATCTGCCGACTGCCGAAGAAGAAATGCAGTTTTCGAATCCGAAGCTACTCCCACCTTATGAAATCTCAAAGCCCATGCTAGTGAGAGGCCCATTTCATTGCTAGATAGAAGCCGAGGGGAGCGAAACTTCCGTGTGACAGGCTATCTATTTGGGCCTTGAGTTTGAATTGTCTTATTGTTGTTGTTGGTATATAAAAGCCACAGTTTAAGCACTGTTCATTAGTGGCCCCCACTCGCTCTCATGCAACTGGGCAACTTCCAAAAACTTTGCCTTCATTCGCCCACATGTCAAGCTTCTCCTCTCACATAGGCATCCACTAAACTCTATTACCCCACTCGCTAACTTTGCCTTCATTCGCCCACATGTCAAGCTTCTCCTCTCACATAGGCATCCACTAAACTCTATTACCCCACTCGCTGTCAAAGAACCTCTGGATCCACCTATTCTCCAATGGTCTCTCTCCATAACTCTGCAGTACCCAAAAAATTATTCACGAGTTCCAAGCAAAGTCTTCTCTCCACCTTACCCTCTTCCCCTTCTTTTGATTTCTCTTCTGCCATAAGCAACCTTCTATTCATCTTCTCTTCTACATCTCTCACTCATTGCAGCCTAGTTATTCTGCTAACTTGAAAATTTGTTAGTATATACTAACTAATATCCAAAATGTATGAACAAATATCCAAGTCTGAATAACTAGGTTGACTCATTGGCCCCCTTTCAGGGGAAAAGTTAATCTGCTAACTTGAAAATTCGTTAGCAGATACTAACTGATATCCAAAATACATGAACTAGTATCCAAGTACTAAAGTATCTAGGGAGCACAGACTAGTATTCAAAATTTGCTAACTGATATCCACCATGAATCAACTATTATCCCAAATTCACAAACTAATATCTAGACAACACAGAATAGTATCAATACAACACATAATTAGTATCCAGATAACCCATAAGAATATCCAGATAACACATAATAGTATCCATATTGAATACTAGTTGGTTGATTGTGGATATTAGTTGGTATCTGCTATCTAGATACTAGTTTGTGATGTTTAGAAATACTAGTCTGTGCTATCTAGATACTCAGCAAACTTGGATATTTGTTCATACATTTTGGATATTACTTAGTATATACTAACGAATTTTCAAGTTAGCATAATAACTAGGCTGCCCTTTCTGTTGTGCAATACCCTGTCAATCCATATTTTTCTTCTCTGATGGAGATTCCACACACAGGGGCACTCTTCCTCCCACAGACCCTTTTCGGCGGAATCGCAGGTCCCAATCTCTCCCTCTTTATCGTCGTTGGAGAAGGAGAATAAGAATAAGAGAGGGACCGATGATGCGGGGAAGGAGGAGAAGAGGAGATGCTTCTAGATGGAATCGATGTTCCTCAACAGACTGTGTTCATGAATCGAAGAAACCTCAGATCTGGAAACTTTTTCCGGGTCTCGATCTCTCACTCTCTATCTCTGTTGAAGAAGACAAAGAGGGGAACGGTTGGAGAAAATGAAGAAGATGAAGAGGAGATGCTTTTATACCGGTTCGATCTTTCTCACACAATCCTACCTGCCTCAGTTTGGATCACAAGCATGGAGTTCCTTTCATAGGTCATAACAACTCCCAGATTGCCAGGGTCTGTGTAGCGGAGCGTTTGACTGTGCTCGGTGAGGGGTTGCGGCGCGGCATAATGCAGGAAGAGTTCTGGCCGGAAAATGTGGTGGGTTGCAGAGAAAACGACCAAAGTTCAGCAAGAATGGAGGCATTTTAACGATGGTACTGAAGTGGCCGCATCTCCGAATTCATAACTCGCCTCCGATTGCCAGCTAAAGAATGGTGATTACTGTTTCCTCACACACTGTCCGGTGTGCCCTTATTGATGATGGGTTATGGTGTTCAATTTATTCTCCATCCTCGCTCCTTTTCTAAAATCCCTTATAGCACAACTTATCCTCATCTATTTATTCTGTGTAGCAAGTTCGAATCATGGAGCCGATGAATAGAACACGCGGTTGATGATATTTGAAACAGTCCACGGCCAGCAAAGTTAAGAGGAGTTACTCTTTCACTCGTGTTGATATCCATGGTCAAGCTGAATCCTATAGCTGCGGCAGATGAAGAAAAACAGATCCTTTGAACCGACCACAGGAGGTGAGCTTTCTCCTTTTCTCCTTAGTCTTCCTCTGCATTTTCCCCATACTAGATTTGCCTCTTTAAGCTGCATGTTCTTCCTCTGCATCGTCTATTGCGAGCAATCGGCAGTCAGGAAAGTTACTCACGCTCTTTTCAGCAGCAGATTGTTTTTGGCCATCCTCTGCAGTTCTCTCTCATTTTTGGGTTTATATGTTTTCGAACTTGAAATATTGGAGAAGCCCTGATGATGGATCAATTCAATTTGGGTTTTTTTGGCTTCTGAATTCGTATAGGAGAGCTGAGGAAAGGTGTCTAATTTCCTGATCTTTTGGTTGTTGCAGATAATAGGAAGTTGTTTCACGAAGGTATTTCACTTTCAATCGAACAACCAAGGATTGTGGGTTTTTTTTTTATTCCTCCGCAATTACTAATACAATAAATGATGTAAATGGAAAGTTGAAATAACAACCATGGTACTTCTGAGTACTGCAAAATGAAGTTAGATGGAGGGTTTGGAGACTTTTGATTGGTTTGACAAAAGGCTTTTGCCCAATAAGATGATATCCAGGGGTCGTTTCATTCATGAATGGTTATTTTGTTGCATAAGGACTCTGTGTCCTTTTGTCTCTCTGTTAATTGCAACCAGACCTTATTTGATGAAGTGATGATGCACGTTTTGATGCTCATTTTGTGAAGAAAGGTGACCTTCTTAATAGCTCCACCCTTTTGATGGTTTGGTGTAGATATGAGAGGTACTTCTCTTTTAAATCGTTTTCTAAACTGATCTCTGCAAAGTTTTTTTTCTTACTTGAATTGCTCAAGTGTGCCATGTCAGGACCGTGATTAAACCAAGCTGAGGTTTTGCCTCATTACTTTCATTTGTTTTAGTTAAGGAACTCCGTTGGTTAATCTTTATGTTTGATAATCATGGAATAACTTAGTGTTTGTGGCTACTTTGAAAATTGATATCTTTCAAAAATCATAAAATTGGGATTTTGGTTCGATGAAAATTGAAAGCTACCAGCTGACACAAAAAAGTATATCAGTTACTTATGTAGCCTTTTCATGGGAATTCTTGGCTTGGTTCTCATTTATTTTGCTTATAGAGTATTGGAACAAAATGGCATGTGTTTGTTTTCTATTTACTGGATGTGGTGCATATGTATGCAGGTAAATGAGATGCTTTCCTCTGATGAACCAAAACCTGGAGTAACTGTATTGTAGCTGTGAAAGATACGGCTATGAAGAGCACCTGGGGAAGGAGATTTTCGTCTCTATAAAAGTTAAAGAACCTATGCGATGCTTTCCTCTGATGGTAATTCTTTTGCCTTTTCTTCTCCTTTGCAGTATCTTTCACAGGTTTTACAACTCCTTCCTATATAGTGCCCTGAATCATCCTCTCCTTACAACGTATTTAAATTAGGCTGCCTTTAGAACAACACTTAGACCTTCATGAGTTTAGTTGAGTTTTAAGCAAAATCTTATCTTTAAATGGATGGGTATTAAGCTAGGTTTTTGGTTTGATATTAGCATCTCAGCACATTGACATAATTCAAATCCTTTTCCTTTTCTGTTGCTCCCTATTTTAATGCAAACAGAAATATTCGGAGCCTTGATTAAGCCAGTTGTTTCACATTTTTTTTTTAGTCTTCTACAGTGGGAAATGGCACTTCTGATCGTCTTAGGTTGGAAATTTCAGAAAGAGACCCATACGCTAAGGTACACAAGTACATAGCGCATACTGGATTGGTGTTGCTAGATCAACTGACCCTTTAACCTTCAGACGTTCCAGTAGAATCCATAAACAGAAATAATGATAGCTCTTAAGGTCTAGATCGAATAGCCCATGAGATATTGTACAGAACTGAAAGGGGGGATATAATGGTATGCACATCAGGAAATTGCATGAGCTCAAAAGAAATCTGGAAACTACTGTAACTTCCTTTCCAACATTTTATTTACTGTATTTTTTTCCTAAGTTGTGTTGAGTTAATTGAATGATCAGTTCCCTAAACAAGGATGTGCTATATGCTTCTATACTGTTTTTAAATAATAGGGAAACCCACACTTCTTTATGTGAATCGACTTTCAGTGGTGGTTGTGTTAGACTATTAGTGTCATTTTCAGTTTGAGAAATTTTCTTTGCTGTCCTCTGTTGCAAGTTCAGTCATATTTATGCCGTTTATGATTTGTTTTTTTTTACTTCATGTTGTCTCTCTGTATCCTGAGTAACAGGACCAGACACCTGAGCGGATTAGAGAGGTGGAAAAGCATAGGAAGGGGGGAGTGTTGAGCCCTTCTAGTGTGCTCTATAGCACCCATGCTATAAAAAAGGTGACCTGTTGAGGAGGTAAACCCACTAAATGACTGGTCCCACATCATTAATGGCAATCTTGTAAATAATGAATCAATGTATACAAGTGTAGGTACAAATTAGAGTTGTACCATATTGTATAGGTACAAGTTTCAGCTATACCATTGAAGAATTTGTTTCACAAAGTGTAGGTACAACTTAAAGTTGTACCATTAGTATAGGTACAATTTTGAGTTGTACCATGAAGGGATTTATTAGAAAGTGTAGGTACAACTTAAAATTGTACCATATTATAGGTACAAGTTTGGGTTGTACCATAAAAGAATTTTGAGAAAGTGTAGGTACAACTTAAGGTTGTACCATTAGTATAGGTACAATTTTTAGTTGTACCATAAGGGATTTGTTAGAAAGTGTAGGTACAACTTAAAGTTGTACCATGGTATAGGTACAATTTTGAGTTGTACCATAGAAGGATTTTTAGAAAGTGTAGGTACAACTTAAAGTTGTACCATGGTATAGGTACAAGTTTGGGTTGTACCATAGAAGGATTTTGAAAAAGTGTAGGTACAACTAAAAGTTGTACTATTAGTATAGGTACAATTTTGAGTTGTACCATAAAGAGATTTATTAGAAAGTGTAGGTACAACTTGAAGTTGTACCATTAGTATAGGTACAATTTTGAGTTGTACCATAAAAGGATTTATTAGAAAGTGTAGGTACAACTTAAAATTGTACCATGTTATAGGTACAAGTTTGGGTTGTACCATAGAAGGATTTTGAAAAAGTGTAGGTACAACTTAAGGTTGTACCATTAGTATAGGTACAATTTTTAGTTGTACCATAAAGGGATTTGTTAGAAAGTGTAGGTACAACTTAAGGTTGTACCATTAGTATAGGTACAATTTTTAGTTGTACCATAAAGGGATTTGTTAGAAAGTGTAGGTACAACTTAAGGTTGTACCATTCGTATAGGTACAATTTTTAGTTGTACCTTAAAGGGATTTGTTAGAAAGTGTAGGTACAACATAAAGTTGTACCATAGTATAGGTATAAGTTTGGGTTGTACCATAGAAGGATTTTGAAAAAGTGTAGGTACAACTAAAAGTTGTACCATTAGTATAGGTACAATTTTGAGTTGTACCATAAAGAGATTTATTAGAAAGTGTAGGTACAACTTAAAGTTGTACCATTAGTATAGGTACAATTTTGAGTTGTACCATAGAGGGATTTGTTAGAAAGTGTAGGTACAACTTAAAGTTGTATCATGGTATAGGTACAAGTTTGGGTTGTACCATAAAAGAATTTTGAGAAAGTGTAGGTACAACTTAAGGCTGTACCATTAGTATAGGTACAATTTTTAGTTGTACCATAAAGAGATTTGTTAGAAAGTGTAGGTACAACTTAAAGTTGTACCATGGTATAGGTACAAGTTTGGGTTGTACCATAGAAGGATTTTTAGAAAGTGTAGGTACAACTTAAAGTTGTACCATGGTATAGGTACAAGTTTGGGTTGTACCATAGAAGGATTTTGAGAAAGTGTAGGTACAACTAAAAGTTGTACCATTAGTATAGGTACAATTTTGAGTTGTACCATAGAGGGATTTGTTAGAAAGTGTAGGTACAACATTAAGTTGTACCATAGTGTATAGGTACAATTTTTAATTGTACAATAGAAGATTTTTAGGAAAGTGTAGGTCAACTTTAAGTTTAGTGTCAAGGTACAACTCTAGAAAGTGTAGGTACATCTTAATTCCATGGCTGTTATTTTGACAAAATGAGCTGTGCGAACGTTTGAGTGGCAGCTGTGTGTTTCAATTGAATATGAGATTTTGACGGGCGTGATAATGTCAAGTAGTAGCCGTGAAATTTCCTGGGATAGTGAGAACTGCTCTTTGCATCTCACGGGACATCTCACGGTCGTGATATTTGCCTGAGGAATGAAACACTGCTTTTTACATCTCACTTGAGTATTTTACGGTCGTGAGATTACCAGAACTCCAAACTTATGAAAAAGAATAGTTGTATAGTATTTAAATTAGTAGTAATCCTTGAAAAAAATTAATTGAAAACAAATATTGACCATCACATAATTCATAAAAATGTAAATTAACTTGAAGCAAATTTTGGTGTACACGTTGTTCGCTATATCCTAGTCATTCTAACGGACTTGGAGTTACAAATCTCTCACCCGTGAAATGTGATTGTTTCATAGCATAGATTGTTTACAAATTGAAACAACCTGTCATGATTTAAGTGGAACCAGAGCTAGCAATATATCATATTAGATACCCTGTAAACAAAAGTAAAAGCAGCCAAAGCATTACATCTGTCTAATTCAACAATCATCCATAACACGATTAAATTTGTCTAATCAATGCTTAAGTTGAGCTGCATGTAGTCCACACCAATGCATCATCATATTCTGATTGAAAAATACATAAGCACAAACGCAAACAGACATAACTAAGTACTAATTTAAGTTGAGCTGCATGTAGTCCACACCAATGCATCATCATATTCTGATTGAAAAATACATAAGCACAAACGCAAACAGACATAACTAAGTACTAAGGACTAAATAGTTCAACAAGATTTTTTGGTTGGCTCATTTTCACTGCCGCTCTTCCTCGTCAGTGCACTTGTCCTCTTTATTGCTTTTTTGGGTTGACTTATCTTTATTGCTTTCGTCCTCTTCATTGTTTTCCTCGGTTGGCTCATCTTTGTTGTTCGGTTGAAATGCCCACAAGCTCGTGTCTTGACGAACTTGATTAGGTCCGCAAAATGGTCCACAAGGAGTTCCTCCTGCAAGGAAAGATCTGTGAGAAGAAAGCTAAAGCCGAAAAAAGCACTTCGACATTGAGTTAGGGCACAACCAAAGACGTTCTGGAGTGCATAATTTTTCCACGTTTAAGCTTCTTCCTAAAAGAGCAGTTTCAATGTTCCACTTAAATACATGATGCTCTACCATGATCCAGCAGTACTTTAACCTTTATTTCCCTTGCATAAAATATTGTATGTCTGTGAATCATCCTTACCACGAACAATGCTGTATTGCTCTTCAGCAGTTCCTCAAAATGAATTTGAATTTTCTCACCTTCAGGGCCTGCCTGCAATTCATTAAGGAAAAGTAAACAAGAATTAAAATATAAACTTTCCTTCACACTGAAATCGCAAACGATATTAAGTTCATTTTTTGTGAATGTTTTAGCAAGCTTGACAATCAAGTCATCAATAGCCATTCTGAGCCTTTCCATATTCAATTCAAGGTGCAGATATATAAAAGATCTTAGAGGCTGTGATCACTTATCCTGAAAATTGGAAGAGACATAATTAGCCTTCGTTTTCCAACTGGTGCTTAAATAAAGATAACTAACCTTGTCAAGATATGAGTCCAAACAGGGAACTCGTCGCCCATTGCATCATAACTGTTTGGCAGTATGGAATTGAAGTGCTCATCAATCACAGTAAGGGGACCTAAGAAATCCATACAGACATAATCAACAATTGCATTATGATATGGATATTTAGGCATCATCGATAATTATATGCAGGCATCCAATATCTCTCTGTTACCAGCAAATATTTCATTAAACATGGCCTCTTCCCCAAAGAAGTTATCACAGAAAAGATACCTGCACGACGAGGAGAAATCAAAATCCATACACTGCCAGCAAGGAAAATTAGAAGGAACAAGTATCTGAAAGCTATTCCATCATACTCTGAAGTGGCTGTATCCAGTAGTAGCCTGTGTAAGCTCCCGAAGATGACCTCATAAGGATACTTCTGGGAACTGGCTTCAGCTATATGTGGAATCAATGTTGGCTGCTCAATGTCCTGTAAAAGTAATTGAAGTGAGGGAAGGTTTCAAATTTTAATAGCAAAGGTTTCAAGGGGCCAAGGAGGAGTCTCAAGCCAAACAACATTATGCACCAATAAATATAAGAAGTTTCAGTACTGACTAACATGTTAATCCACACAAGGTTTGACATGTAAATAATGTTCTTTAATCTCGGCCATGCATACACTTGCTTTTATGCTATCGAAGGAGGGCATCATGCATGAGTTCAACAAAGGAAGTATCTATAGACTATAATATTGCCACAAACCTTTAGGAATAAGTCAGGGAACCCAGTATAGAAATAAAGTAGCTTAAGAGGGAGTTGGCCAGGAGAGAAAACTAGGGAGAAGTATGTTTACCTTCAAGATATTAATCCTATCTCCCAAAGCAAAAACAGCTGATCGATTTTTCAGCGGCTCTCTGACTCTCGAAAACAAGCCAATACTTCCGGTCTCCACACCAATTAAATCACTCGAAGTTGCTATATCGAACTGTAGTTTCTCCAGCGCTTGAATGTATGCACGAAAACATGCACTTAGAACCTGCAAACTCAAAGCTCGGGAATAGAAGTTAGGACCCTGCTTCCTCGCCTGCAATTATACTGGTACAGGTACCATGATCCTATAAAATATACAAGACAGATTAGACCACCTTGTTCATTGTGTCAATGTACGCAGTGCGAACTTCAGTGTACACTTCCTTGCCATGCTCTTTTAAAAAGGAAATGACATACCTAAAATTTGCGGAAAATGCTTATAAGACACCGATATAGAAATGGCAGCAATAGATCAATTGTCGCAAATAGTTCACTGAAATGGCTGATTTCTACCACAAATACTACCATTTTAAGGATCAAAATGAGAGAAAATAATTACTATGATTAATTAGAGGCGTCCAACCAAAGCCAGAGATGTAACTCACTTGTACTTTAAAAGAACACTTTGTTGAAGGATCTGGATATTCGTTTTAGGTTTTCTCAGAGCTTGAAGCTTCTGAATAATGAAATAAAAAACCTGGAGAAAGATATACGCATCACTTAGTAACGTTGATTCTCCAAAGAATCCTGTTGAAGGACAATAAGGTGTACACACAATGACACATGCCATTACCTTGGAAACTGCTTTCTGCCTCAGCTTGTCAAGCTCAGGTTGCACATCCTTCAGAGATTTAGAAGTTTTAATGAACGAATCAGACTCAACGAACATCAAGAAAGTAGAAAACAAAGATTATAAAGCTTAACCTCTTTGACCAACTAAAGAAATGGTCACTCTAATAGTTGTGAAGGACTTCCAATAGAGCATGTCCTATGAAACCAATGCCTTCCGGGTTTTCAGCCTTAGACCCATGTCCATAGACTTCTCTTGAAGAATTTTGATGTCTGAACTAATAGAACCGATCTCAGTCTACCAAAAACAAAAAGGAACAAATTTCACAGCTGATCAGGAAAAACTCAACACCATAACTTGTTCTCTAGTTCCATTGCTACCTAAGAATCTAAACTGAAGCCAGAAGTATAACAAAACAAAATAGTCCAACCAACATACCTGGAACCCACTGAGGAGGGTCTCCATCTGTGACAAGATGCTGTGGCAGTCACGAATTTGTTCATGAAGAGACACCAAATTATCACTTTCTTTTATATAATCCTGCAAGTTTACAATAACACAAATTACTACATCCCTTGAACAATCCATCAATGCCCACCAAGCAAAAGAAGAGAGGGAAGAGAGTACGAACCTGAATCGAATCAAATTCAACCTGCCGCAAATTGTTCTCAACTCCTTTTGTATACTCCCTCAACTTTGGACTCCTTCACTCCGACCAGCAGCTATTCTCCGACGCCTTGTCCACCGATTCCTTCGTCCGGACCTACAGCGGGAGCCACGATGCCTTCCGCTCCGATTTTGTGTCCGGGATGGTTAAAGAGCAGAATAGAGAGACGATGCGAGATCAAAGGAAGATGATCGCTTCCTCCGGAGTCGGAGTCGGAGTCGGAGTCGGTAACTGCATTTCCGGTGGTGGCAAGAATGGATGTCGGCGGTGAGAAGAAGGTTTCAGATCTGCGTGGCGAGGAGAAGGATATTGGGTTTCGAACTTTTTTTCACATACAACCGGTACAACGGGTTGTCCATACACAAATAAGACAATGTATTAATAATATAAATAAGATCTAATGGCTGATATATTTTGAACATGATCTAATGACTGAAAACGTTTTATAGCACCAATACTATAAAGCACACTAAAATGCCTCGGGGAGTGTTTATGTGAAACTTTGGCGGGGAAACATGGTAACTTTTGATCATTATTGTGTTCATTTTAAGTTCGACTTTGATTTTGAGTCCATGTATGGTAACTTTTGATCATTATTGTTCTTTTGTTCAGTGCAGCATCTATTCTTCGGATGAATATTGTAACAAAGGGGAGAAGAAGTTGATGTCATCACTCCATCAATTTAGTAGTACTACTTATAGATATTCTTGAAGATAATTCTATTAGCAGAGTTGTAGAATTTTAATTATTGCGAAGCGAAGCGAGCGGGTCTCTGCTAGTATGTGATTGGTTTGTAATTTTGTATCTATTGCTGTTGGGCCTGCTCTTTTGCCATCTAAATGCATTGAGCTATGTTTCTTTTTAATGAGTTAGTGACATGGCATGTTTAGTTGACCGAATAAATTATTTTTCATTCTCATCTTTAGCGAAATTGACAAAAAAAAAAAAACAGATACAGAGCTACCAAAATTTAACATAAGTGATTTCATCGTAATTTTTTTTCCCGTTGAATTTCAGCATAATTTTGACCACAGTAAAGCACTGCAATATTCCACTACATCCAGCCACTGACTCAATGGCCCTGAAATACAGTAAAGCACTATTGACCATCACAAACTTCTCCTTACTATTCAATAAGACAATAACCACACATTCTTTCTACTTGTCTGGTAGTAAACAAACCAAACCAAACGACCCCAACTGACTCAAACGACGACTGAAGTGTTTATTTAAGCGAAAGTCGCAGCTTCGCTTCACAATACCCCGAGACGCTAAGCTGATAATTCTCACTGGCCGTGATCGTCGAGAGTGAGGGCAACGATGGGGCTGGAAACCACATGGCCGTCTCCATCACTCCATCGCAGGAAACAGTACAACACCGCGGGGGATCCTTCTTCAACCTCCAGGTGGACATGGAACTTGTTGGTCTCATTCCTGTGACGAAACACCAGAGTCTCCGGCACCACCTCGATTCTCATCGCCGGCGGGGCATTCTCCACCGACACTCTGTAAACCGACCGCCCGTCGCCCCCCACGTTGGTCAGGGTCCTGCTGAACTCCACGGCTCTGCTCTTGGACTTGAACACGGCGGTGAGAGAAGGATAGTTGAGCTCTTCCACCTCAATTCTCTTGCTGCAGTGCCACCCGCGCCCCTGCAAGATGAAGTCGATTTGCTTTCTCGTCAGGTTCTGCCCGCACAGGAAATCGATGTAATCCTGGACCTGGATATCGTATATCAGCCCTGGATCCATGGCCCTGTTTGGATCGATGTGTCCGGCTCCGAAATCGATCGGCGACATTGGAATCCCCGTGAACTGCTCCGTCAGACTCTGGCCCGTGTTGTCGACCGCGTAAGCCGTCGTCATCATGGCCGATCTAATTGCAGCTGGGCTCCATTCAGGGTGGGCGGATTTCAGAAGAGCTGCAACGCCAGCAATGTGTGGGGCCGCCATCGATGTGCCGGAGAGAATGCCGTAATTGGTCATCAGACTGTATCCCCCGAGAGACATGTATGGCAGCTTGCGGGAGAAGGCCGCCAGGATTTCAACGCCGGGAGCCAAAATGTCCGGTTTCAGTATCCCCGGGTGAAATTGGTCCGGCCCTCTGCAGGAGAAGCCCGCCACTTGGGGAGCTGGTTTGACCCCAATGTCTGTCGACTGAAAGCGCAGACTCTCTACTTTGGCTCCTGGGGTGTCGATTGCAAATTTCCGTACCGAATCCCCTGAGCTCTGAGATATAGCTATCAAGGGAATCGAACAATCCTCTGGCTCTAACAAATCGGCGGGCCGATCAGTGATCAAGACTGCTCCAAAAGCCCCCAATCGATTAAGAGCTGGAACCAACTCAAGTGAGATTTCTTCCTTGAAGGAGTTGTCACAGAGTATCATCTTGCCTGCAACTTGTGAGCGGTTCAGCGAGGTAGCTTCACATCCAGATTTCCCCTTTCGGTAGTACAAGGGAAGTTCGACGGTAGAGATGTCTAGGGGAAAGTAAGAATATCCCTTGATTCCCACTCCGTTGGACAGAGTCATACTGGCTGTAAGACCTCGATCCATGGTCCCGGCTCCGACTGTTGTGATCCACGGCGGTCCGTTGATGAGATGGGACGCTTCTGGTTTGTTGCCGGCGGCGGCAGCCACGAAAATGCCCTTCTCGGCAGCAGAAAGGGCGCCGATTGCGACCGGATCTTGATCATAAGATAAACCCTCGAAGCCGATGGACAAGGAGATGATGTCAACCCCTTCTGCAATTGCTTTGTCAATTGCCGCCAGCACTTCCGCAGGAAGGGCATCTGAATCCGGGTCCACTTGGTACATTGCTATGTGGGCACGAGGAGCAACTCCTCTGGCCGTGCCTTTGGCATAACCGGCATAACTGACGCCGAGGACAAAGTTGCCCGCAGCCGTCGACGATACATGACTCCCATGGCTTACTTTCAAGATGCCTCCCGAACTGTGGGAACCTTTTAGGAAGAACCGAGACCCGATCAGCTTTCGGTTGCAGTACGAAGAGGAGTTAAAGTCGTAATTCTCTTCGCATTGCCCCTTCCACCTTTCGGGAACAGCTGGCATGCCTCGATCGTGGAAGCTCTCACTTGATGGCCAGATCCCCGTGTCAACAAACCCTATGATGACCCCTTCACCGTAGGAGGAATTCGGCCACAGCCCGGAATCATGTCGCAGCCCCAAGAAGTCTGTAGTGTGGGTAGTGAGAAGCTTCCCGCCGAATGTCACCGGATAAGTGGCAACGTGGGCTGGCCACGTCTCTATCTCGGAGAGCTGAGCTTCCGTCAATCTACAGCTAAACCCATGCAGAACATGGGTGTAGCTGTAGAGGAACAGCTCTTGGTCGGTTATGGGATCGGCTAAGGATTGCACAAGTGATAAGTGCCAGAGTTCATGAGTGGGGAAAGGTGATGGTTTTTGGAGATCACTGTCTAGCTGGACAATGTATGTTTTGTGTTGAGGATGAGGCTCTGTCTCTGTGTGTGCTGTTGCACAACAGAGGATGGAGAGGAAGTTGATAAGAAGAAGAACATAGAGAGTTATGGAAGCCATTGTCAAAGCACAAGGATGGATGAAGTGTGATGATTTGAAAATGAGGCTGCTACTATCATATATTTATAATTATATGCAAGGTTCCACAAACTAACCCTGGTAAGAAGAAAGGGTGGGAAAGCATGAAGACGATGTGAAACCGCAAATCCCCAAATAATGGAAGTGCTTGCAGTAGTTGGTAGCAACACAAGTATCCAAGATGACGTTGTGGCACAAAGCCATGCATTTTGGAGGGAAGGCTTGAAGAATGTGTCTTCTGTAAATGGGGGAAAAATGTTTTCAAGGTGAAAGGAGTGTGATCCTCCATATAGGGGAAGTAGTTGCAGTAGTTGCAGATAGTAAAAGGTTTGAGAGAATCATAGATGATTCTGTGATCGATGTTAAGAGTTGCTTCCAAATTAAGTTACATCACCATGAGATTTTGAGGGATTCATAGTCTGTCACTTTTCTTAACCGCCACATGGGATGATGTTCCTATTCCGTCCATACGCCGGTGATGCCTCTGGGTATCTTCTAGAAGCGGTGCGAGCACAAGGAGAAGTACTATTATGAACTGGAGGTCCAATGAAATTAGAAAGAACATTAATGTGTTAGAATTTAAGAGTCAAATAGCAGAACAACGATGGAAGGCTGGGGAAAAACTAGAGGACTTTCACTACCAAGATCCTTCCATAAAACCGCTTTGCAAAATGATTAGTTTCAACTTTGAAATCATTCGTTTGATCGTGTGTGGGTGGTGGAGGGGAGGAACTCCGGGCCGTCCATTTTTCACCGCTGCTGCCCTCACGCCCATCCATGTTTTATTTGTCGGGTAAATTGCAACGTTGGTCACGGTAATTATTAAAAACGTTCACGTTTGGTCACTACAAATATTTAATTTCATTGTTGGTCACTAAAATTACTTAAACATTTCAAATTTGGTCACTCTCCGTCCAATTCCGTTAACTTTTGCTTATGTGGCGGTCAACTCTAAAAATTGACCGTTAAATGTGTGACGTGGAAATAAAAAAATAAAAAAAATAAATCATTTAAATTTCCACCTCATTTTCACAATTATGAAAAAACAAAAAACAAAACCTAATTTCTTCTACTCTCCTTACCCGAACCCAACTCAGCCCACACCCTCGATGACCCTTCCCTACGCCGCCACCACAACATCCGCCCGACAGCCTCCAACCTTTCATTTAATTAGAGCAGTTAGCGACGGCGACGGTACCAATACCCTTTTCCCCCGCCCGTGATTCTTCATTCCGTCGCCTTGTCTTCACTCCTTCATCTCAATCAGCACAACCCGATGTCTAGTGTCGCGTCCCCACTCGCCACCAGCAGATCGCCACCGAAGCAAGGGGGAAAAAATCAAGAGAGTAGGCCCCGAAGAAGGCGACCTGCTGTACCCGTTCAGAGACGTCGGCGGCGCGATGGCGGTGACCCTGGTCTCTCGGGATTGTCACGACCTTACTCTCGATCGTGCGGCCCTAGCTCTCAAATCCGTTAGAGCGCTAGGCAGCCTTTCTCTCAACTCACTTGAAAGCAAAGAACAAGAACAAAGACAAAGGAAGTGGGAGAACTCTCTAGTGTGTATTACTCTCAAATATGATGGAATGAGTTACAAGTGAGGGAGATGGCTCCTTATATAGGCCTCTCCTCATACAAGGCATCAATGCCCCTCATAATGTCTCTCTACTACATCAATACACCCCATAAAGTCCCCCCATAATGCACTCTAATAATGCTACCATAATGTAGCTCATAAGTGCACCATTAAGCTCTCATTTAGGTGGAGAATCCTAGGAGCATCTCTATGCTACTAGTCTTCCATACATGCCACATGTGCAGCCGCCTTGTTGTCACCTTGTTGGCGCCATGTCATCTGCCACATGTGACATCCTCCCCCACCTATGCTCGCGACGCCCTCGTCGCGTCCTCTTGATGGAATGCCTCGATCAAGTCCTTGTTCTTCCAAAGCGTGAGCTCTTTCTCCCAAATTGCTTCACTTTCCGGAAGGTTGCGCCACTTGACCAAGTACTCCACAAAGCTTGGATGTACGCCACGACGAGGAATGACAGGACGCGCCATGACTTCTTCAACTTCATGGTCGTGTGTCTTGGTGATGAGTGTTGGAGTGCGTTGCGACTCTCTTCGTTGCTCATCATCCTTGTCTTCGTGGAAAGGCTTGAGTTGGCTCACATGAAAGACCGGATGGATCTCCAAGTGCGTCGGCAACTCAACCTTGTATGCCACTGCGCCAATCCTCTTCACGATGGGGAATGGCCCTTCATAGCGGCGAAGCAGTCCTTTGTGCACGTTCTTGAGATGCTTGAAGCGATGAGGGTAGAACTTGATCATCACCATGTCTCCCTCTTCGAATTCCAAGTGCCGCCTCTTCTTGTCCGCCCATTTCTTCATCTTCTTACTAGCGCGGGCTAAGTAAGACTTGGCCATCTCCATCTTCTCGTGCCAGCCTTTAGCGAACTTGTAGGCTGCCGGAGTGTTGCCTCTATATCCCGTTGCCACCATCGTAGGTGTCAAAGGTTGCTGCCCCGTCGCCAACTCAAATGGACTCGTGTTGGTCGACTCGCTGCGGTGAAAGTTGTAGGAGAATTGTGCCGTATCCATCAACTTCACCCAATCTCGTTGGTTTGCACTCACGTAGTGTCGCAAGTACACTTCCAACAAGGCATTCACCCGCTCCGTCTGTCCGTCGCTTTGAGGATGAAATGCCGTCGAGAAGTTCAAGTCTGAGCCCATGATCTTGAACAACTCTCGCCAAAATCTGCCCGTGAAGCGCCCATCTCTGTCGCTCACGATGTTGCTAGGAACGCCCCAATACTTGACCACGTTCTTGAAGAATAGTCGTGACGCATCCTCTGCCGTCATGTCTTTTGGGCCGAGGATGAACACTCCATACTTCGAGAATCTGTCCACCACAACCATGATGCAACCGCATCCATCGACTTTGGGAAGTCAGATGATGAAGTCCATGCTTACACTCTCCCATGGTCGTTGAGGTGTGGGCAAGGGCTCTAGCAAGCCTGCCGGGCTTCTCTGCTCCATCTTGTCTTGTTGGCACACAAGACAAGTCTTCACATACATCTCCACGTCGTCTCTCATACGCGGCCAGAAGTATGCTTCTTCGATGAGCGCTTGCGTTCTCTCGATGCCGGGATGGCCCGCCCACTTGGAATCATGGCACTCCTTCATGATCTCCTTCCTCAAGTTGGCCCACCTTGGCACGAACACTCGCTCTCCCTTGGTCATGATGAGCCCATCCTTCATCCAAAACCGTCGAGTCTTGCCTTGCTCGATGTACTCCGCTACGGTTTTGGCGAAGGGGTCATGGCCAAGGCCTTCAACGATCCGCTCCTTCAAAGGAAACATGGGCTGGCTGATGCTTGCGGCGGCACTCTTGCGGCTAAGAGCATCGGCAACGGAATTCGCCTTGCCTGGATTGTACTCCATGACGAAGTCGAACTCGGCCAAAAAGTCTTGCCACCTTGCTTGCTTGGGGGTGAGCTTCTTCTGCGTCAGAAAGTAGCTCGTTGCCACGTTGTCCGTCTTCACTACGAACTTTGACCCCAACAAGTAGTGCCTCCATGTGCGCAAGCAATGCACCACGGCCGTCATCTCCTTCTCTTGAACGGTGTATCGCCTCTCCGTCTCGCTAAGCTTCCGACTCTCGAAGGCAATGGGATGCCCATCTTGCATCAATACGCCCCCAATCGCGAAGTCGGACGCATCGGTCTGCACTTCGTAGGCCAACGTTGGGTTGGGGAGCACGAGCACGGGCTCCTTCACCACCGCTTGCTTCAAGGCCTCGAATGCTTCTTGGCACCTTTCCGACCAATCCCACGCCTTGTTCTTCTTCAAGAGATCCGTCAAGGGTGCTGCAATGTTGGAGTAGCCCTTGATAAACCTCCGATAGTAGTTGGCAAGGCCGAGGAATGACCGCAACTCTGGCACCTTTGTCGGCGGCTCCCATTCTTGGATTGCCTGCACCTTCGCTCCATCCATCTTCAACTTGCCTCCACCAATGATGTGCCCCAAGAATGGAACCTCCGTGGCGGCAAATGTGCACTTCTCCCTCTTGACATACAACTGGTTGTCGCGAAGGACTTGGAAGACTTGGCGTAGGTGCTCGGCATGCTCGTCGAGTGTTTTGCTATACACGACGATGTCATCCAAGTAGACCACGACAAACCGGTCCAAGAATGGCTCGAACACTTGATTCATTAAAGTGCAAAACGTGGCTGGTGCGTTGGTGAGACCGAATGGCATCACAAGAAACTCGTAAGAGCCATACCTCGTCACACAAGCTGTCTTTGGCTCGTCGCCCTCTGCTATCCGCACTTGATAGTAGCCCGAGCGAAGATCAAGCTTGGTGAACCACATCGCATCTCCAAGCTGATCGAACAGATCGCCAATGTTGGGAATCGGCCACTTGTTCTTCACCGTCAACTTGTTGATGGCTCTATAGTCGATGCACATGCGCAACGACCCTTCCTTCTTCTTTTGGAACAACACCGGTGCTCCAAAAGGTGACTTCAATGGCCGCATGTAGCCTGCGTCCACCAAGTCCTTGAGCTGCCTCCGCAACTCCTCTAGCTCCGGTGGCGACATGCGGTATGGTGCTCGCGAAGGGGGCTTCGCTCCTGGCTCCAACTCGATCTTGTGGTCCACCTCTCTTCTTGGTGGCAGCTTCTTGGGCAAGTCCGATGGCATCACGTCGTCGAACTCTTCGAGGACACCTTCGATGAGGGAAGTTGTGATTCCCGCTGAGCCTCCTTCTTCCTCCATTTTCAAGGACACAAGAAAGATTGGTTCATTCTTCTTGAACCCCTTCAATACTTGCATGGCCGATAGAGCACTATGGGGGCCATCTTCTCTCAAGAGATGGATTGTGTGAAACTCCCCCTCCTTCTCCAAGCACATCGTGTTGGAGTTGGGCTTCAAGAGCACTCCCTCCTTGTCGAGGAAGTTGATGCCGAGGATGACTGGGTGAT